TCCCCAAAACCTCCCCTCCCACTGTTTCTTTGGGACGGACACTTGGTAATCATCTGTCCCACTTTAAAGATGCAGCTGTAGAGGCCTGGCGAGGTCACAGGGACTGTTCACACAGAGTCTGTGACAGCAAGAAGCTGGCCGGAGAGACTGCGGCCTCTGTCCAGGAGCCCGGCGCGGTCCCCAGGGGAGGAAGGAGGGAAAGCAGACACATGCAGTCTTTAAGCACCTGGAGCGTGCCAGGCCCTGCACGCGGCCCTTTGCATCCAGCGTCTTTCCAAACCCCACGATGACCCCCAAGGTTCGAAGACAGCGGCCCCTCCACTCCCTCCCCCCGCGGTGGAGGACCCACCACCACAAGCCCACCCCGCTCCGGCCCAGACAGCGTAGGGATCTGCCTCACTCCGATAAGGACATCTGCAACCTTATTTAAAAGTCACTACTGCACCTAATTAGAGGCACTTAGCCCTCGGATCCATCCTTCTCCTCCAATCACTTTTATAGCCGGTAATAACTCTCGTAAATTCCTCAACAGATGGGAATTTTATTTGACTAATCATGGCCGTTTGACTTGCCGGGGTGCAGTGGCTCGGGGCGCAGACTGGCAGGGCGCCATCTGAGGTGACTGTCAGGAGGCCAGGCAAAGAGCCCAGGCCCCCAGGCCACCTTGAGGGTCCACTCCTCAGAGGGAAGCCACAAGAAGGCGTTGGAAAGTGCCAGGCGCTGGGCAGCAACAGACAGCTGTGCCGCCTTTTCTGGGTCCGGAGGCCTTGGTCTCTGGACGCGTGATGGCTGGGGCCAGGGAGAAACTGGGACGTCCTGGCTTCAACACCCAATAATAACAGCACGTTGGCTGCCATCTGCTGTGCGCCTCTCCGTGCCAGCCCCGTGCCAACTGCCCTGTGGGCCTCATCCCCTTCAGTCTGCCAACAATCCTACAGATGCACGTGAACATTCCCATTTCACAGATTCGCAAATAGATGACAGAGCAAAGTCACAGGCCCCGAGTCACTAGGCTGAGCCGCCAGCTTCATCTGGGGAATTGACAGCCGGTGTCCCCTCTCCCGCTCACACAAGGCCGGGGGACCCTTCTAAACCCACGTCAAACCCCATCACGGCAGCAAAAACAAACCCACAAAACTCCCAGTAACACGCAGCACCCACTGGACAGAGGCAAAGCCGCTCAGCCTGGCCGTCATGAAGGAACCCACTCGAAGTACCAGTCCGAGAGAGAGAAACATTGCACAAAAAGCCTGTCCATCCGAGAATATGCACAGCAGACTATTCATAGCCCCAAATTAGCACTCTCACTACACAAATGGACAAAGAAATTGATCTGTACGCACAACGCGAATCTCTTGGCAACCAATGAGGAGGGAGAAGCCACACCGTCATCGGAGCAGGGAAAGCTCCATATAACGAATTATTAACTCTAACAGGACATGGAATTAACAAGGGGCTGGCTAGAGGAAGCAGAGAGAGCTCTAGAGAATAGCACGGAGGAAGAGCCCCCCCGGGGCTGACATGGAGCCCCTGAGGAACAGGGCCCCCCACCCTGGGCTGAACGGAGCCCCCCAGGAGACATCCCCCACCCCAGGCCAAGACAGCACCCAAGGAATGGCCCCCCCAAAGCTGAGGCAGAACCCCCAAAGCAATACCCACACCCCCGCTCCAGGGCTGACCCCCCAGACCCCCTGAACAGGGCAGGCCCGTGGCTCACGCGTGCCAGAGCAGGTCTGGGGCCACACGGTGGAGCCAGCCAGGACTCCAGCCCGTGGAACTTACCAGAAATCAGCCCTGGAGGATGCCACAAAAGCTGCTCCTGGGAGGGCTCTCAGCAGAGCCACCCTATTGCCAGACTGCCTGAAAGGGGGTGCTGGGGAGCTGCTGCTGGCCGCGGGGTGCCGCCGACTGCCGTGCACTGCAGGAGCCAAGCCCTGGAGGGTGCAGCCGCCTGGGAGCACATGGAGCAGGAAGGGGCCCTCGGGGGGCGGGCCCCCAGCGCCCTCTGCTGGCCGAGAGCAGCACGCCAGCCAGCCGGGACAGAAATTTAAAGGGCCCAGCTCCATTTTCATGGAGCAGACAAAGAAGGGTGAAGTGGGAGCTGAGACGTAATCATCAATAACCAGCAAACTCCATCCCTTGGACAACTCAGCTGCCACACGAGCCCCTCGCACACAACTGAACTCCTGGATGACAACACAACTCTGTACTTCCACCTAAGAAGACACAGCTCTCATCCGTTCCGGAGACATCCTCATCCTTTGCATAAAATGAACGGCAGTCCCGCAAGTCATTGCTGACTTGCATTTATTACTCCCCAACTTCAGCCACGGTTCCACAGAATATTCTGTCCCCTGAAGACTAACTTGCAAAGTTAACTTCCAAAAACTTGCATATGAAATAAAAATGGAAAGGAATGAGAAGAAAATGGTTCACTACCAGGGGTGTTTATTCTAATTATTCACTCAGGAACAGGGAAGGTAACCTCACGGTGGGTCCGTGGACTGAGCGGGCCCACTGGGAGTCAGACGGAAGCTGAGACTCTTTCTACCACCTGATTTCAGCAGCCCCCACTGACTTACGGGGGGGCACTGTAGATCCCTAGGAATTCATGTTTACTCAGAGCTGCTGCCTGATCACAGACCCATCGGATGCTCCCTCTTCCTTGGGGCCCAATCTCTCTGATAAACGGCCGCACGTCCCTTTGGGGGAGGTTTGGAGGAAGATTTACAGCAAGTACTTGCAGCAATGACTCAGGCTCCTTCCTGCAGGGAGCCTGGCCTCCCCAGGATTGCAGGAGCTCAAGGCAGGTTTTGGCTACCACACCCAGAGCTTTTGATGTCGTATATCTCCAGCGACCCCCTAGTAGGCTGCCTGTGTGTCTCATTCCCAGGGACACTGTGATCCACTAGCTGCCACCAAAGGTCCCCAAGACCGAGGTATTCTGGTCACTTGCACATCTCTACTGCCTCACAGGAAGTGCGCCCACGTTGACCACGGCAGGGCAGTGCTGCCGCTTGGTCTCTGCTCCCCCAGGATGCCCTGATCCCCACCAAAGTCAGGAGCCCATCCTCCTGGAGGGACCTCTACAGGCACAGCCCCCTGACAATAAGAGCAGCCACAGAGCATTGCAAGGATGAGGTGGTCCCCGCACTCGTGGCTTTCTCCCTGCCGCCGTCCTCTGCCCCTTCTCGTGGAACATAGCTGGTGGGGACAGTGGTGTGCAGATGACATGTAACAACACATCCAGCCCAACATTCCTGTCCCCAAGCTTTTGGATTCCCTCTTCCACATCATGACATTGCAGCCTCATTAACCACAGGCCACTGTTGAGTCCAAATTTCAGTCAACCCGCCAGGTAAGTCGTTAGAGCCACCCCCAGCTGCACATGCTAACAACCAAATCCAGACTCTCCAGCAAGTGCACCCACAGCAATGAAGTCAGCCCACTGCAGTGCCACACGCTGCTCTCTTTGCTCTAAAACCCTTGGAATCCACTCCCCCACATTCCCTCGGTCTCTGCTGATATGTTAGCAAAGTCTTGCAATTCTTTTGGTGTTTCCTCATAGGTCCTAGTGTGTCCCTGTCACCAGGGAACATGCTGAGATTTGACCCTTAGCATCTAGTGACAACGGGGGTGGTCGTGGTGAGTCTTAAGGAGAACGGGCAACCCCTCTCCGAGCATCGCCCTCGCTGAGGTTATCACAGGGTCTTAGACAGAGGAAGACACTGGAGTTTAAACCATCACCATGATACGGGAGGCTCAGAGTCACTTGGGGTTTAAGGCCATCAGTGTCATCTGGGTCCCACAGAGTCACCATTCCACCTCTCAGGACCCCTTTCTTTCCCAATTAATGCCCTAATTTTCACATGAGAAATCTGTCGAGATGTGAATTCAGTTGTGGTTATAATTCAGCCATGAGCACAATTCAATTATGTGTTTGATTCTCCGCAGTATCAGCCCAGGGGCTGCAAGAAATAAGAGCTTCCGTAAGGGCTGTCGTGGACGCTCTCTGGTCCTCAGACCGTGACTTGAGGTGAGAGTTAACGGACCTGCACTTGTCGTTTTCTCTCTGTAAGTGCTCAAGAGCCCTCAGCAGAATCCGTCCCACCCCACGGTCCTCACGGACATCATCACCGCCATAACAGTCAAGCGCAGCGTGACTGCAGCTCCCGAGGGACGTGCCTCAGTGGCACTTCATCCCGATCCACCACAGGTGACGGCCTGACGAACCACAGGGCCGCTACACGCCTTGGGTTCCTAGCACCCCACTGCCCACTGGCAAGGAGCTCGGCACCACGCGCAAGCCCCAAGGCTGAGGAAACCAGTCCACAAGGCTCAGCTTAGCAGGCCCACCTCCTGGTACCACTCCTGACACCAACGCTGCAATGGTTTGGGTCCAATCAAGAAAAAAGAAACCACACATATTTTAACTGGCGAAGTTTCATATGAAGAATTACTAGCTTATAATAGGGGATTGGATGAGCAAGGCATTGGCTAACAGAGAATAAGGACAACTATAACTAACGTAAAAGGCGCAGCTATACGGAGCAGCCACAACCCAGAGAGCGGAGAAAGAGACCCCACCCCAGGACTGAGACGGAGCCCCCCACATCAGGCTGAGGTGGGGAGAAAGCATCTCCCCAAAGTGAGACAGAGTCCCCAAGGAGGAGCCCCCGGGGCTGATAGAGAGCATACAGCCTGAAAAAAGAGACCACCCCCCGCCGAGACCAAGACAGACCTCCCCCCTAAGGAGGAGCTCCCACCCAGGGCTGAGATAGGGCCCCCAAGGAAGGGTCCTGTCCTAAAGCTGGAATAAAGTTCCCAAGGAATGGCCCCCCCAAGGCTGAGGCAGAACCCCCAAAGCAATACCCACACCCCCTGCTCCAGGGCTGACCCCCAGAGCCCGCGGAACAGGGCAGGCCCACGGCTCACGCGTGCCAGAGCAGGTCTGGGGCCACACGGTGGAGCCGGCCAGGACTCCAGCCCGTGGAACTTACCAGAAATCAGCCCTGGAGGATGCCACAAAAGCTGCTCCTGGGAGGGGTGTCAGAAGAGGCACCCTATTGCCAGACTGCCTGAAAGGGGGTGCTGGGGAGCTGCTGCTGGCCGCGGGGTGCCGCCGACTGCCGTGCGCCGCGGGAGCCGAGCCCTGGAGGGTGCAGCCGCCTGGGAGCACGCGGAGCAGGAAAGGGCCCCCGGGGGGGCGGGCCCCCAGCGCCCTCTGCTGGCCGAGAGCGGCACGCCAGCCGGCCGGGACAGAAATTTAAAGGGCCCAGCTCCATTTCCACGAAGCAGACAAAGAAGGGTGAAGTGGGAGCTGAGATGTAATCATCAATAACCAGCAAACAATGAAATATCACTCAGCGATGAAAAAGAAGGAGCTACTGATACACAACTTAATCTTAGAGATATGATGTTGAGTGAAAGAACACACCAAACAGCAAATTCTGCAAGTTCCTCTTTATTGTGAACTGGGCAGTGTATACAGGTGTATACATTTGCAAAAACCCTTCAATCTGAACATTTAAGATCTGTGCATTTCATTGTAGATAAATTATACCTCGATTTTTAAAAATTAGCCCCCCAATTTTTTGTTTCCAGCCTAGTCTCTGTGTACTACCTGCACACAGTAGGCAAACAAATATTTTTGAGCAAAGAAACACATTCATGAGTCACACACTCATTTTGCTTTCCTCACGTTAAATTTCTGACTGTTTCCCCAAATCACCGAGCTGTAGCCCTCTGCTCTCAGTCCAGGCACAGCTCTTATTATGCTGGCGTTAGCTTCAGAGGAAAAATGTACCAGGTACCACCCGAGTGACCAGCATGTCTTGAGCACTCTGTGCCTGACACTGTCTTCAAAACTCTAATTCATACAACCAATGCAGTCGTTGCTTCTATCATCCCCATTTTACAGATGAGGAAACTGAGATACAGTTTGTCTCGATGTCCACACTCTCAACTGCTTTGTCTCTGGGGTCAAACTATATTGGGTCCCAACCCCAGCTCTTCCCCTCGCTGACTGTGGGTCATAGGCAAGACAACGGCTCCCCCCACTGTGAGCCTTGCTCGACTCATCTCTGAAATGGGGATAATAAGATTGTCCCCGTGGGTCGTCATGGGGTACCAGTGAGCTTATCCACATAAAAGATCCACATGGGTTTTCACATCTTAACATCCCCAAGATCAGAATGTGTCCCACCGTTGAAGGCATCTCATGATCCCCTTGGGCAGTGGCGATTGTGATGCGGACACCACTGCCTGAGCGAGAGCAAAGCTGGTCAGAACAGTCCATCCTGTTCTCACCTCCATGTCTAAGCATCAAATAGCCCTTTCATTATGAATAAAATGCAAATAGGATGAGCTGAAAAGCAGGGTGCCATTCTTCAGCTGGCAGCCGCCCTTCTTTCTTAGTGGCACATAAATTAATGGTGTGTCTTACAGCTGATGGCTTCTTTCGATTTGATGAAATGCACTACACTATTATCATCTCAAGTCTGTCTTCCCCACCACGGACGATTGGATTATTGTTCCCTATTCTTCCGGCCTCCCGGTTAGAGATAGACATCTGTGCTTTTGTCATGATTTTGCAGTGCCTCCCACTAGAGAAGGCAAAGAAAATTTCCCCGCCCCACCAATGTAGGGCTTGGCCGTGTCACTTGCCTTGGCCAGGAGAGCACACCACTTCCAAGATGAAGCCTTAGGAGATGCAGCATATTTCTGTCCAGCTGTGAAAGCAGGCCCTGAGTAGCCATTGGTACAAGAATGAGAGACATGTGAGCCGACCCGGATCCAACCACAGCCTGAAGCAGAGCCACCCCAGCTGACCCAGCCTCTGGGAGCTTGTAGTTGTAACCATGAGATGTAAGCCATGAGAGTTGGGGGCTCTTTGTTAGGCGGCGTTAACATAATCACAATAGTTGATACACTTGCGAAATTATGAGTGCTTTGAGGGCAAGGCCCATGGCTCATTTCCCTCCATACGTCCAGTATCCAGACGGATCCTGGAGGTAGTGGGTGTCGAGGACACTCAGAGAGAGCTTCAGAGACTCTAAAAGGATGGTTTGGGAGTCAGACGGACCTGGATTCAGATCTCAGCTCCACCAGTTCAAAGTTGGATGACCGTGGGCGAGTCATTTAGAGTTCCAAGTCTCAGTTTCCTCATCTGTAAAATGGGGACTCCTGTAGCATCCCATGATGAGAAGTGAAGCGAAGGACGGACCAGGCCCTCACCCAGGGCCTTGCACAAGCAGGTGCTCCAGACACACACCGGTTCCCTTTCCTTGATAGACATTTGTGATTGAACACAGGACTGAGACCCCTGTAACCCATTTCTGTCCCCAGGATCTACCAGGAAAATCTCTTCCAGGTGTTCCTGGCACATGGCGGGCCAGATCTGGCAGGAGGAGACACCCCTGGAACAGAAGGTCTGGCAGGATCCAGGAGAGGCAGTGGCCAAGCTGCTCCCAGAGCTCAGCCTCCCAGGGACCCCCCTTACCAGGTCTATTTCCAACCCACCTGGCATCCAGGTGGCCAGGCTGGTGCCAGGCTCACGCTTGGCAGACCTTATGCTCCCTCAGAATTTTCTGCCCCAGCTCTTCCCTGTGAAAAGGCAAGGGTGGAGAAGATGAGGGGTGAGCAGGCTGCCTGTCTGGTCCAGGCAGGGAGCAGAGCTGGGCCAGCTCTCCTGGCAGAGGCTCTACCAGCCCAAGGGATCCACACGCACAGGACCCCTCTGGGCCCACATGTTCTGGAACATCCACCATAGGCCCCACTCTGGGACAGTATTCAGCAAGGAGGCTTGGATTCCAGCCCTGACTCTGCCACAGCCTGCTGTGTGACCTCAGGCAGGTCCCTTAACTTCTCTGTGCCTCCATTTCTCTTGTCTCTACAATGAGTAATATCCAGGAGGTCTCCACGGTTCATGTCACAGACCTATCTGGGAACCTAGTAGAAGCCATGGATAGCCTCCCAAGAACAATGCATCTAACGTCAGCAGTCCAGGACCTTGGAGCAGGTGACCCCAAAGGAGCCTTCTGGTGGGCCCAAAGAGCCCCGTGCTTCCTGGAATGTTGGGGCTGGAGGTCCAGGGGCTTATCTCCCACTCAGACCCTCTCTGATATCTGTCTACCAAAGAAGACCCACGTGGCAGACACTCCTCCCAAGCTTCTCTTTCTGTGGCCTCACAGATGCCCAGGTTCCTGGCCTCCTCCCTCCCCGCTCATTAATTAGCCATGGTTGCCATGGTTTTTCCGAGCCTTCCACAGAGAGCAGGCCCAGAAACAAGCCGTGAATCAGATAATCAACTGATCTTGGGCTGAAGGGTCTTCAGAGCTGACCTGCACGCACACACACATTTACACACACAGACACCATATACACATACAGGAATGCATAAACATGTGCGTGCATGCATACATGTGCACAGATACACATGCATACGCGCACATAACACACGTGCACGTGTGCACACGTGTGTGCACATACATATGCATGTATGTGCGCATATATACGTGCACACACGCACACACACACCCCAATCCTGTGCCTCAGCCCTCCCCACCTCCAGCACACACGGTGGCTGCTCCCCATCCCCGAGGCCCAGTGACTGTCACCGCCACTATCACGTCTTCTGCCCCTCCACCCTCTGACCCTGTGGTCTCCTTTTTGGCAAAGCCTTCAGTGCCCACCAAGGTCAGGAAGGTTTAAGAAGCACAAAGGGCTAAAACTGGGCAGCTGGAACCACAGGATCCTCAATGCTGTCACCCCCTTGCTCTGTGACCCTGGGAGTTGTCAGTGATCTTATTATTTATGCTGTCACTGCCTTGGTACATTTCACGCAGCCTTCAACATGCACCACGTGCTGTGCAAAGTGCTTCCATGGCTCTCAGCCTCACAAAATCTACAAGACGGATACTATCCCCACGTGTTATTTATCCACCCCTGTGTGCCAAATTACCCCAAAACCTAGCGGCTTAAGACAACAAACATTGACTATCTCCTGTGGCTTCAGAGGGTCAGGAATCCGGGAGTGGCGTCGCTGGACGGCTCTGGGTTTCCCACAAGGTTGCAGTCAGGGCGCCGGCTGGGGCTGCCGTCTCATCTGCAGGCTCAGCGGGGGCTGGAGAATTCACTTCCAAGCTTGTCCTCAGCTCCTTGACACGGGGCCTCTCCGTGGGCTTCGTGAGTGGCCTCAGGACACAGCAGCTGGCTTCCCCCAGAGTGAGGGATCAGAGAGACAGAGAGGAAGAGAGAGGGAGAGAGAGACGCCAAGACAGAAGCTGCAGCATCTTGCGTGACCTAGTCTCCTAGCCTCGGAAGTGAGTACCATCACTTCTGCCATATTCTATTGGTCACACGGTTGAACCCTGTGGGAGGAGATTGACAAAGGAGTAAACACCCGGAGGTGGGGCTCATTGGAGGCCATCTTGGAAACTGGCTATCACACCCATTTTACAGATGAAGAAACTGAGTCTCAGAGAGATAAAGTGACTTGCCCAAGGTCACACAACCAGCAAATGACAGAGTAGAGACTTGAATGCAGGGTCCTGCATTCCAGCTCCAACATCTATACCTTTAACTGTCTATCTTCTCCTCTATCTGGCCTCAGTTTCTCCAAATGTCAGGGGAAGGAGTTAGATTGGATAATCTTTAAGGGCCCTTCCATTTGGAAAGTTCAAAGGCTTAATTAGCAGGTACAGGAGTGGGACCTGAACCTCACCCTCCTGACTTCCGGCCGCCAGGCTCTTGTCCACCTCAACCAAGCGGCCCTCAACCCCTGGCAGCTTCCTTTCTGTACACAATCGGCTGGTGCGAGTGTCAAACCATCTCTGTGTCTAGGTTACCTTTTCTGGAGAACGGGAGGAAGGGAGGCGTAGACAAGATCTGATGATGATCCAGCCACAGTGAAGAAGGCGATAGGAAGATGATGACGATAGTGCCCATGATAAAGACGAAATGGCGATGATGACAGGTAATAGGTACTTGAGCGCTTCTTATGATGCCAAGAACTTACACTCCATTTCATCTTCACCACTTTTGCCGTTCAAAACGTGGCCCAGGGACCAGCAGCACGGCCACCCCCTGAGCACCCGTTCGAGAGGCGGAGTCCGTCTCGCCCCTCCCCCAGGGCATCTGTGTGCAGGGCCGAGTTTGAGGATTGCTCAGACTTCTCAGAATCCAGAGCCAGCACGACTG